GAATGCAAAAATTTTATGCAAATTGGGGAAAAAAGTGGTCACGGTGTGAAAAAGGAAAATAGGGTTAATCTTAAGAATCTGACTTAATAAAAAAGAACAAAAAAAGAAAAATTCAACTTAAACCTCAAACAAAACGCATAAAAAAAAGATAATACACATAGCGAACAACCAAATCATGTTAATTTTTCTTTTTTTGTGCTTTTTTTTATTAGGTTAGAGTCGGGTTTTACAACTTACGTATTGTTTTTCTTTTTTTTCTTTTATTTGTGTTTAGAGTAGATATTTTGTCTAATTTTTCTGTTTTGATTTTTCATTATGTTTATTGTCTCTGTTTTATGGGTTTTGTTCCATCGTTCTTTCTTTTTGTGCTTTTTTATCATATTGGAATTGGGTAATAAATTTTGCACAGAACGAAAAGTTAAATTACTAGATTAACTCCATTTTCCTTTTCCACAAGGACGTTTTTACCCATTTAGCATAAAATTCTGCATTATGGTTCGATATAATTAAAGAAGCGGGTACACGCTAGAAAGCTTATTAAACGAAGAAGTTATCAAATTTGTCAAGCTCTACCGTGAATTTTTCTGATGAGGTGGCAAATTTAAGTTTTTTTACAAATTTTAAGTTTAGCAGCTTTTCAAAGATTTTGTGGGGTCTTTTAAAGAATAACCTAATTGAAAGTTCTAGAACGGTGCCTTCTTAATGGGAATTTAACGCTCGTTTCAATTTTTTAAAATATTTTTTATGATTTACTCAAATATGAATAGTTTAAGAGCTACGAGTAGATTAATGACAAAAACCATAGATAGTTGAAAAAAGCATAAAATGTTGAATATTTGCGAAAGGGCTGATGATACCATTTAGGGGAAACCTTTTGTCTCTCTGGAGGTGTGAAAATCCACTGGCAAAGTTTGTGACCCGAATAGCCTGACAACCCTGTACTGTCACACGATGTCGGTTTCGGAAATGAACGAGCTATGGCCGAAATGTATATTGACCAGGAGGAAAGGAGCTCAGTATTTCATTTGTTACGCAACCGATTCGCTGATGACCAAAATAGTGCCAAAGTCAAGTCTGAAGACGGCGGGTATTACGTCATACAGGAGGAACGGCTGGGATAATGTATCTCTCCGACGATTCGATCGGAAGGCGAGACGAAACCCGTTTTTCTAAAAGTAAGACTCCGACCCGTTTTCAATAATATTGGTTATTATCTTTTTAATGCGTCTCCTGTTATATCATCAACACGGCGAGATGTGAAATGCATTACGCGGGCCCATTTCTTCCTCGCGCTATATTCTACACAGCGTGTGTCCGACAATCGGCGTTGGGTGAACAAGATTATGGCATAGTGTATTGTTGTTCGAGTCGTTTGGCAACAGGAAATTCGAGACCTACGATTATGGTCACTGTGGGAACGAGACGCGCTCCTGGACGGGAAAAAATATGACTTCCTAACGTAATTATTCTTTGACTACTAATTAACCTAGTGGTATTCAACTAGTCTAAATTCTTAGATATTATTTGTTTGTTAACAAAATGTTTTGAAAAACTGAAATCTTCAAAGCTAGTTCTGAGGGTATTCGGCAACTCGGACCAATATTGAATTGATTGATGGTAAATCTTATTTCATTTTTAACAACTAAAATATGTGATGTCAAATTTTCAAGCCTATCATAGGAAATTGTACGTTTTCCAAGCATTTCCACCCTGGAAGCATTTGTAAGTCGTATATATATGGTAGTTAAAACTGTAACCACGTACGACTTTTCATCTGCCTTCAGCACATTTTACATAATTTAAAAAAATATTTATTCCATTATATTTAGTGGTCTACTGACCAAATTAGTTCTTTCAATTAATTTTTTTTGTAAGGTTTTGGTTGAAATGAAAAAGCTAGTGCCACGAGCGGGATTCGAACCCACGACTTTCGGCTAAATACGCCGCTGCTCTACCACTTGAGTTATCGTGACTTCCATCCATTCAGACACCAACTCTCCCCATCTCCACTTACAACCTTTCGAATTTTGCCTTTTTGCCATTTTTCAAAATTCCGCTCGTGGCACTAGCTTTTTCATTTCAACCAAAACCTTACATAAAAAGATTAATTAATTGAATAAAGTATTTATGCCTATTCTGTACATGAATTATAAATACTACAAATTGTTCTTAATGCTATAAAATCCCGGGCAAGATACCAACACTACGGTCAATACTGCAACCGGAGGACACTTACTATGAGAAGCCATCCTATGCTGGTACTCAGTTTGTTATCTGGTTAATGGCGATGAGGTCTCGATGCCTTCGTCGTTTAAAGGTACATGGACGGTCTTGGGATGGGATGTTGTGGATCCATTATCCATACGTTACATGAGCAGTAGGAATAGGATGGGTTGAAAGATTGGAGTGAAACTTGAGGAAGAGCGAACGGATTCTTTGATAAAGGAAATGTTAATGTCATTGTTGATAGTGAGATTTGAAACATAGTTTAGAGAATTTTTCTGAGGTCTTTTGTTTGGAATGTTTGGATTCGTTGGGGGAGATGGCTTGGTTCCGCTCCGTGTCCAATCGAAGTAATGTTTTGTACAGAGTTTGTTCTTCAAGTCATGTCTGATTTCGGTCCTTCATGGTTGTCCAAATCGTCTATTTAGTTCTTGTCGCTTGATTCCTAAGTATATTACTTGTGGAGTTGTCGTTAGTTCTTTACTGTTAACGTATAGACGTGGGCAAGGCGGTTTGTTTAACGTGAACGTAATTTGGGTGCATAGGTCCTCGTGCGGTTTCATTTTCCACGTTTTACATCATTCTTCAACGAATTCGTGATTCTCCTGGATATTGGCGGTGTCTTGGGTAGGTGTTAGGAGGTAAAATTGTGTTATCGCCCGCGTAAATATGGTGGGATGTATCGGCAGGTCAATTATAGTATATAGGATGGGCCCAATCAGGCTCCTTGTGTGTAAAAATGGTTTGTAAGACGAAATGGGGCACTATTGACAAAACAACGTAAAGGCTTCCAGCACTAAATATAGCGAAAAGCCGTAGTGCGTCTGACATACCAAATGATCAGGAATTACGTTTTGAATTTGTTCCCTTTTCTCAGACCAATATTGATATTTCTTCAATTCCTTAGTTGAATATCAGGGGGCCAATTGATACATGATTTCATTGTTCATTCTAAATATTTTTACTACAATATATGGTTTAGTATCGTTACACAAGTAGGAGAATTTGTTCCTGTCCTGTTTTTTTCTGCAATCAGCCGTTCCATAATTGGCTGGTACCCAGGTCTCGTACATTTCCAGTTCGCCCTCTGCTTGAATAATGAGATTTTGATCGGATAAAAAGAAGGGAAAAAATGGTGGGAGATAGAAACAAAAGGTTCGGGTTTCGTCATGTAAGGTAGTCCCCGGTGATATCGAGGACTGCTGAACGGTCACTTCTTCAAAGGATCGACTCAGCTTTATTGACAATGCACAATTTCAGTACAACACCTAAAACTTCTGCGAATTCGCGGACCCTGCAATTTCTCGGTTTGTGTGATTATTGGGAATGTCTTGTTTTTCTTCTCACTCTCCCCTTCAGTGTTGGTCAAGATTCTCTCTTTTCAATCGATTTATCACATTTAAATGTCGTTTTTAACGACGTAAAACGTACAATCGTTTTATATACTCTTCTAATTATTATATAAGAACTAATCAATCTCTTTTAGCAAAGGATCATACATTGAGTTAGTGATAATGTTTTTTTAACACAGGCTATCCCACTCTTCGGTCGCTTAATTAACCTGATAAGACAACTACCGCCTTCTATACTACAATAATTCATTAAAATAAATTAATCGCGCATTAACAAGAGAAAACCGTCACAGACAAAATTGTCCCAACGTTTTTAGTAGTAAGGAACAGAGTTTTTTTATCCACTTTTAACTAGATCTACAAATATTTTCATCAAAATGGTGCCTAAACCGTCGTTTATTGTCTTGTTTAAAACCCTTAGAAATCCGAAACGGTTCACTTCTATTTATATGACAGTCATGTGCACCCTTCTCCAATCTCACCACTTTTAGAATGGTCATTATCCCTACATCATACCAGTTCTAAACTATATTCCTTCGTTAATAATTCACATTTCGAGTTTCGTTAATGTCAGCTAGAAATTGGTTTGATCTGGGAAGCAAGGGAAATAAGAACTCATACGCTTTTCTTTTTTTTACCCACATTGTTTTATTAATGTAATCCTGTATGTAAAAACGTTTTGTACAGGTTTATACCAATGAAAACATGTGGCAGTTGATTTTGTTTCATGCGGTAAAGGGGGGTTGGTCTAGACGAAAGAATCCGGCTTCTCTGTTGCACCTGGGACACCTGAACATCCCGAATTAATTTTTTTTCTACAAGGCTTTAATCTTTTCCAAACTCCGGTTTACTTCCGTGGCGTCTAAATAAAAAAAGGATTAGAAAACGTGAATAAAAACAAAAACGTTTTATTTAATTATAATGTCGGTTCTGTGTGTATACTCTCTTCCGTGGTACTCTAATGCAAAGAGTTATCGATTTGTATTATCCAATGAAATGAAAGCATAAAAATCAAGAAGAAGAATAAGTAGGAAACCGAACTAAATAGGTAACGAAGAAGAAAAATGGCGAAACATGGTTGGAGGATATCGCTGTGTCCTGTCTAGCTCTGCATAATGGGCAAACAGGTACGATTTTAGGATTAGGTATTGTAGTAGGTGTTGGGTAGGATGTCCTTCAGCTTCCACAGGATGCTAGGGTGCCAAAACCTGTCAATAGCTTCAGCAATGCCGAGGAACACGCGGACACTTCTGCTCTAGGGAGGATGAAATCACATTTTAAAAAAATATTTTCTCTGTAATCTTTTACGGGTGATACGGGTTGAAAAATGTGTGGATTGTTGCAAAACTGGATAAGAATGATAGACGTACGACCATTGTCTTTTATTCTTTTTCTCTTATTTTTTCTTTATTTTCTGTTTTCCAGTTGTCCTGCCAAACGCTCTGCACTAGAGGAACAGAAATCGAAAGAGTAAAATGATTGTCCCGTGAGAGAAAAATAGACAAATTCTTCTGAAGTTGACGCTGAAAGAGATGTTAAATTAATAGAAACCCTCGGCAGAGATAGAGTCATGATCACAGACAGCAAAAGGTCAGCCGTAGAAGTAGAAACATAGTTAGAATTTTAGAAAACAACAAACCGACGCCTCTTGGGGGGGCGTTAAACTCCTCCAATGTCGGGAGGTAGCGTTGTAAAAATGGAAAACCGAGAAAAGAATGGGCCTATTTAAAATTTTGAACCTGAGGTTATTCGACAAAAGGACTTATAAATTATTTAAGGGTCGGGACGAATTTTCGACGTTCTGATTTCAATTACAAATTCACCACATTGAGAAGGGTCCCAAGCGAAGAAAGAACCTAATGTCCCTTTTGTGATGGGTTATTGATATTCAATTTTACATTCAATGTGAATTTTTTTGTTTTCATTTTACTACTGCTATAATATTGGCTCAGAATTAACTAACACTTGGCAACATGTTGAATATACTCGCATTACCATATGGGGATTTTTAACAACACGTGTTTTCCATGTGCTCCTTTCCCCTATCCCAAAGCGTTCGTTTCTTTTGGACCACATTGTCTCTACACCAGCCCAGATTATAATTTCCTTTTGAAAACAGACAGTTCAACCCAGCCCTTGAATCGATCAGCGGTCTACGTTTTCCTTTAGTTTAGCCAATTGGCTTTCGACAATTTTTTTTATGAACTAAAGCACGTTGCTAAGTACAATCTTGTCTATAAAATCAGTGAGATTTTTAAAATATAAGCGATTTTTAATAAAAGTTTGTACTGTTGTACTCGTTTTGCCACCGAAAACCACATTTGATATATTTAACAAAACGTTCGCCAGGGATTTTATAGGTTAAAAACTTCACCTTTCAGCAGCCAGAGTTAAACAATAATGCCTAATTTTTGGTCAACTACAAAGTCTTTTAGGACCGAAATCCGTCTTGGCCGTTAAAACTGAACTAACCTTATACACGACTTTATGCGACTAATTTGGACATACAGAGCCGAATGTGGGGTTCTGCCAAGCCAGGCAACATCCGGCGTATCCAATCCTTCCAATCAAAAGTACTCAGACAAATCGTCAGTAACCTCACCATCCGCAACGATCTCCGTGCCCGATTCCAAAATTTTCACACCGAGACCTCCTTGTCCCTTAATTCCTTACACTGACCGCCAGCATTGGCTGGGTATGTGTCCTCAGAGGTCAACGCTGGATCACATTTGTAATATGTACTAACCAGTATGTATCGGGTACATATAAAATAATGTTAATTAACTGAAAACGTGATTTTCCAGAAAGACTGCGAGAAAGTTTCGTAAACACCATCGCGTAAATCAAATTTATCAGGCACAAACTGATTACAACAGTTCATTAATAATTGTATATTCAACTATAATTCATTGTGAAATTTTATTGTTTGGCCTGCTAGTTGATAATCGGATTGATCATTACAACCAACACTTTTTTTTATCATTTATCATTGGACAGTCTTTAAGTAGAAAAAAACAGCGAGGATATTATGGATTTTTGGGATTTTTTAATCTAGTCCGCCAAATGAGTCAAATTTTTAAATATTAGCAAATTTAAGAAATATTTGTATAGCTTTAATTGTTTTCCCGCTGATAATAATGTTCTCTAATATAGTGACGTAGTCCACATAATATTTCTTTTCTAATTGAGGTTTTTAGATTCCCGTTTTTCAGGTTGTCTTATTTTGAAAATCGTGCATAAAATAGTGCTTGAACTGTTACAAAATCTTTGCTTTTTTAACTCTGGTCTGTGTTGTATTTCGTAATAATCCGGAAGGGTTGAGTAGTATTTGTCGGCTATATGTGAGGTTTTTTCGCTTTCCGATTTATGATGTTATAAGTGATGTCCAATTTTGTATCAATTAGCTTAACCAGGTAACAAGAAAAGTTAGTGTGGTTTTTCAATTTACTGTAAATTTTTAAAAAATACTTGCATTTTCTTTCTCATGCTTTCAAAACCAATAATTCGTGTGCTTATTGTATGAATTTATGTTCGGTCCTAGGGTGGCCGAGGCAGTTCGTAAAATTTGTCACTGTGTTACGTGATGAAACAATAAATGAGCGCACTGCCTAAAAGTGGTTCAAACAGTTTGCGTCTGGGAATGAGAGGATTGAAGATGAATCTGATACACCTTACGTATTGAATGATGATGGATTGATGGAAGTTGTCGAACTCGATTAGTGCCAAACATGTCAAGAACATGCCAGAGTGTTCAACATAGGCGATGAAACCACTCGCTCCAGCTTTACATCGACTTGAGAAGAAGTGGAAGTTGATTAAAGGCTTCCTCATAAATAGACCGACGGTAACAAGCGTCTAAGCATTTACTTTCACGGCACAAAGTAGAGATGATTTTTGACTGGATTGTCACATGCGACGAAAATTGGATCCTATATAGTATCTTGAGGATGTTATATCATTCAGGATGTTATATACTGTATGTCATCAAATGATCCTATTCCAAACGTTTACCAAGAAAAGGTAATGTTTTGTGTTTGGTAGAGTACGGCAGGCATTGTGCACTACGATCTTCTCCCACGTGGACAGATTTTAGACAAATCTACTAAAGCAACTGCAACGGCTGGTATCTCTTGCCCTGGCCCAGAGACAAACTGCCCTCGTGTACAGAATAGTAATTTTTCACCAGAACAAAGCGAAACCCCATCCAGAACGACAAAGAGGCTGAATATGAAGTTTGGTTCGGAAGTACCACACATTCCATACTCTCCAAACCTGGCCCCATCTGACTTTCACCATTTCTTAGCAATGCAATATCATATGCTCAATCGGGCGGTTGATAATCGCCAACAGCTGGAAGATTAGTTTATTTTGTAAGTCCCGTGACCCAAATTTTATAAGAAGGGAATCGTTGGGAAAAGGTTATAGGCGTCAATGGAGACCATCCCCACCCAAAAAAATTCTAAACTAACTTTAATTGCAACAGTTTTTTTTTTACTCCTTTTTAAGGTTACCTGGTACTTTGACTCCGATGAATAATCAAAATTAGAAAAATGAAGAGGGCGCGAGAAGAGGTACGTTAAGTCACAAATGATCGGACGAGCCACTTCCTTATCGGTTTTTCCCAACAAGTTTCCTCTACAGTATTAATCACCCACAGGAATTGTGTACAGATAAAACATTGTTTATAGGACGACTATGCCCTTTCAGGAGGTTAAGTCGAAATAAGTTTTTGTTCTAGGAGAGACAAACAATCCAGTCACAATTGAGCTGGAGAGGCGGAAGTCACCTTTCCGCCACCCTTCCTTCCGCGAGGACAAATTGTTCAAGGAGTCCTCTTAATTTATTACGTTTCCACCGATTTATAAAATATCCTACTAAGACATTTTCCCTTTCATTTCCTTCTGGTTATTGAGCGATTCGTTCCGCTTCCATGATAAGTAGAAATAATACGAGTGTTCCGATTCAGGGTCATTGGTTGTGCGTTTCGTTGGAAGTATGTTATTGAAAATATTTCCATTCGAGGTTTTTTTTGGTGGTAGTTGTTTGCATCAAATTCTTTACTGAAGATGGGTGAAGCTGAAGCGCGTTTGAGTGAAATCCAAACCCGCCAGAGTGAGTAGATGGACCAATAAAATGATCAAGTGTCGATCAGTTTAACGAAATTTGTATAGCATTGTTGTTTCAGGCGGAATTCACAGTAAAATGGGATCCTTCTAACAAAACACCTACACATGTATAAATTTTTCATTTTTTTAAATTCTGTCGTCCTTCAAGCTATGTCCTTGTTTCCATATTTTTAAACTGTATATATCTTATAGTGTGCATTTCCTAAACGGTGGCTACATACATATACATGTCTTCGTAGCCAAAATAGCCTAACCCCTCTAGACATTTTATAAAACATACGCTGTATTATTTACAAAACTACAGTTGGGTAGCCGGCAGTGTGTTCAAACCTCAACGACCCCCATCATTTACACTAATAAATACATTCATACAAGCCATATGTACAAATAAAAGTTGGGTAGCCGCCGTGAATTTAATATCACTCGGTGACTCACCTGCCTCACACTGCATTCATTTGTACATAATACTAACCTACCTAATTCGACTGGTAAACTGGGTACTCTATATTCCGCCACAAACACGTCTAAACCCGCACACACACTCACCCTCACCCTCATTTGCGCCTATAAATACATTCACACATAGGCGTTGTCATCGGGGGGTTTTGTATTACTGCAGTGTTTTCATCCTGCAAACATATAACCTACACTACTTTGGCGGGTCTGTAAGGTCCGTCGCAGCCCCCCCCCCCACACACACACAACACTTAACCATTTGCGTCAATGAATAGTCACATACCAACGAAAGCCACGTATGAAGGGGTTCTTCTATGCAATGATAACCTTCTATTAACATCAGGTATGTAAATAATTTACCCCTGCAGACACTGTTAGGGCCTTGTTTTTCTGTCGTCTGATGATTTATTCCACTTTTTCCAGTATTTGCAGGATTTCACAGTCAGATATTATTTGTTTTGTGGAGACTCTTTCCCCACTAAGGGGCACCGCTTCGGTCTTTTGCCGATGAGGAGATGCCCATGGATAACCGGCTACGGCCAATCCTCATGCAGGTCGACTACTATTCTGTCTTTTTTTAATTCTCCGTGGCTCTCGGTTTTACTGTGCTTGATCATATAATGAACTATTGAATGGAAAATCGGCTTCCACATAAAATAATTATCCGTAAGAAAGTTAAAGTTCTTAAATAAACTTTAACGACATAACGTTGGAGAATTTGTTCAAGAGCCTATATTGGACGTTAAAGGTTCTATGAAATAGACCAACGGTACCATCAGGGACGATCAGTTTTCATGAATGGAAATTTGATGGTTCTGAGAACTCGTCAATAATGTTTTGCATACCTGTAGATATAATATTTGTTAGTTAGCTCGTCTACGATCGACCTAGCTCGTTTCTCCTCGCCGGTTGGCAGACCAGAGCAGAATTATTGATACCATCTACTTACAGTTTCAGCACCTCGTCTAAATCTTGTACTGTTTTGTTGACTGCTCGTACTAGTTGGCA